AAAGGGGTGGGGCGGAGTTAGGTATGGTACAGACGGGTCTATAGTACAGACAGCTGGCGGTAGATGGTCAGCATTTGTGGCTACCCAACACATTAATGTTTTGTAATTACCTGGCATTAGAAATATGGAATTGGTGTGTGAACAGAAATATCTGGTTATCTGCAGCTCATATAGCTGGTCGGGATAATGTTGAAGCAGATTTTGAAAGTAGATTGGAATATGCCAATACTGAATGGAAACTAGATACTCAAATCTTTCAGTTAGTAACAAGTCAATTTGGTAAGCCAGATATTGATTTATTTGCCAGTCGCCTCAATCTTCAACTTTTCAAATATATAACTTGGCGACCAGATCCTTTTGCCATAGCAGTAGATGCATTTACAGTACCATGGAAATCATATGTTTATATTTTCCCCATTTTCTTTGTATGGGAAAATATTACAAAAAATCAGATTGGACAAAACTGAGGCAATTGCTGTCGCCCCATATTGGACCACGCAAGCATGGTTCTCTCAAATTGTTAACTATCTGATTGATTGTATGTTTGTTTTACCCAACAGAAAGATGATCCTGCAAATGTGGGACTTTTCAAAAGAGGCTAAAAAATTTGTTGTCCTCTAGGAGAGAAGGAACATTTAAACAATATCAAACCTACATTCAGCAGTGGTATAACCGTACAAAACAAAGGGATTGTGATCCCGTGTCACCATCTGTGAAGGATGTACTCGATTTTTTTACCAGCTTATTCACTAGAGGAGTCGGGTATAGTGCACTTAACACAGCCAAGTCAGCTTTGTCATCCTTTATTGACTTTGGCAACAAACCACGTGGGAATCACCCACTGGTGAAGAGGTTTTTACGTGGAGTGTTCCAACTCCGACCTGCACTTCCACGGAACTCAGTGACATGGGACCCACAGTGTGTGTTGGACTTTTTAGTACTATATGACTGTACTAGTCTTAAAAATCTTACTCTTAAACTCACCGTGCTGCTTGCCTTGCTAACAGGTGTAACAAAATAAGATCCGATTAATAACTATGCAGTTAATAACCAATCAGAGTTAATTAATAATATTTTATATAATTGATGATATTTAGTGCAGAGCTATCAAACCGTTTATCGGTCAAGGAATTAGATAGGTACATAGTCTTAGAGTCAAGATTATACGAAAGTAAAGTGGTCAGTAATGGAATACACAAACTCAAGTGTGGTCAGTGTTGGCATTAGATAGGTACATAGTCTTAGAGTCAAGATTATACGAAAGTGAAGTGGTCAGTAATGGAATACACAAAGTCAAGTGTGGTCAGTGTTGACATAGTACTTAAGGTCTCGCGTTAAATACATAATTAATTTGGGCAAATTCTGGTAGGGTTAGGAACACTTGACCATATCCCATGTTTGGCAACGTGATCGTTGTCTATAAAATAGGGGCTCGCACTGTTGCTAACAGACTTGGGGAGAACGACTGGCCAGAGAACATCACCAGTGTTACTCTCTCTCCTCATTTCTCATGTTCGGCCAATGGAACCTAAAACTTGTTAACTGTAGACCTTATTTCAACTTTTCGAACTCTTTCGTTTTAACTGCATGTGAAGACTAGAGAACTTGTACTACCTGGTTGGATTGTTATTTTAAGTATATATAAGCACCTGAAGTGTTATAGCCACGACATGATGCTGTATGTTGATTAGGAACTATCTTTTGTAATGGATACTAACGCGAAGTACTAACTATGGAAAACCACTATACGATGAAATAAACGTTTCGGTCTACCCAAGTAAACACTGTGTTTAGTCATTGTGTTACACAGGTCAAAGAGCCCAATCATTACATTTGTTGGATTTAAGGAACTTACCCATCAATGATGTGTCAGTTAAACTCAGATTTGGGGACAAATTAAAACATACAAGGCCAGGACATCATGAACAAGAGATTGTGCTAAACAATTTTGCTGTCCCAGAAGTGTGTGTAGTGAAAGTGTTGAAACAATATTTGGATTACACTCAACTGTTGCGGACGGACACTACTCAGTTGTTTGTTAGTTATCAGAAGCCACATACTGCTGTAAGCCGTGCCACTATTTCCAGGTGGATTAAGACTGTCTTATCAGAGGCAGGCATCGATATGTCAATTTTTACACCTCACAGCACCAGATCGGCTTCAACCTAAGCAGCCCAACGAGTGGCTGTGCCATTACAAACTACTTTTAGAACGGCTGGCTGGTCAAACAATTCCACATTCGGTAAATTTTACCACAGACCTATCATGAACAATGCATATACCATTGTGACATCTAAGGACTCATCTTCAGAGACTTAGTGAAATATGGTGACTCATCGGGTACAGTGCATATAGTTTCTGAATATTTCTGGACTCAGACGTAGTATGACTGCATGTGTTTATATATGTTGCTTCATACGTTGTTTCAGGAGAAAAGTGTATGCAGTGTATAGGTATACACCTCTGTTCGCGATGTAGGTTTTTAAGGATACCCGGTTATCATGACAGTGACTTATATAGAGACTATTAAGAACACTTGTTTCACATTAAGTCAAAATTTTCTCCAATCTAGTACGTACCCAGTAGTTAATAATATAGGATTTGATCTACACTTTGTAGTAGTTGGTATGCCTGCTATGTTCAGGTCATACTTGTACTTATTGCGTATACTTGTCTTGTTTTATGTTATTTGTTGATTTAATACACATTTGACTATTTTGTCGGTTCCGTTTGTTTTTTGTTCATGAACACTCTCTTTGAACGTCTCCCGTGGTTCCGGTACTAACTGAATGAAGACGGATCACGGGCCCTCCCTGGAATTCATTTTCCCATCCCTGTACATTATTTTATCAACTGATTACATTAGTTTTGTACGTGATCCCATCATTGGGTAGTGTTCATTCACTTGCTTTGAAATATGAATAATGAAGCTGCGCACGCATCTCCCGTGATCCCTTGTACTAAACAGAATGAAGGCAGAATTACAATCAAATTTCAACTTCCAGGTAAGTCTCATTTAATTTTCTAATTTTATGAAGATATTTCCTGATAACAGAATGGCGGAGGTGATCAGCAAGTCTCCACTATGGAATCATGTATTTAACATGGGAATTTCCACATACCCGAAATTGAATGTTGTTTTCATCATAAGAAATGTACATGAATTACATTGTAATAACAAGTCAATAATGGCATCTTTCAGGCCCCGATATCTCAAAACTGCATTGACATTTTTGAGATTTCAATATCATCATCACTCTCATTTTCATTGTCATCATCATATTCCTCCCCAAATATGATGTCTGTCCCTGCTCTGTCCTCCAGTTCTTCAATTTCTCACCCTCTGTAAAATGATTGATGTATAAATTCACTTGTTACAAATGACATGGAGACTTTCATGAAAAAAAAATATTCATTTAGGAAAACTTTATCATTGACACTGGTGTCAATTGAACAGATTTTATATTGAAGGATGTATGAAAACTCAAGTGTTTATCTCTCATGGTGCAAAGGCGATGACCATGTAAAAGACAGATAGAAAACAAAACTAAATATAACTAAATAATATTACTAAACATAACAACAAGAGGCCCAGAATATATATTCAGAATGTAAAAACAAGGTTACTCTTTTTTAAATCTTGTTATGCACCAGGGGAACATACTGGTCAATTATAATAATTCTAGACCTTCCAGTATTTTAGAATAAGTTGTTTTTCAGGTGATAACACATTTGACCCCTTCGACCTTGTATATAGGTCAAGGTCAATTTTATTGGAACCCTTTGTTAGGCTTCATCCAAGGAACCTTCCAACCAAATATGGTTACTCTAGGCCTTTCGTTGTTTGAGAAGAAGTTTTTTAAAGGAAAAGTTGACGGACGCAAGACGACGGAAGGACGGACAGACAGACAATGTCGGGCCTTCGTGCCAGTGGAGATAAAATTAATTTTTCATATTGTTTACTTTGGGATATTTTCAATAGCTCTTAGAGTTACTTTTCATGAACATGAATTGTACTTGATCGTGTAATGCTTCATCAATACCAAATTGATTTATGGCGTGACAGAAATTCATTGATGGGTATTTACATCATAAATAATAAATAAAAGATATGAAATGAATTGTTAATTACCCTAGTGTTATATGGAAAGTGGGGTCATCTTCTTGATTGTCTTCATCCAATTCTTCAGTCACATCAATAGTCAAGCTGAAATACAACGAAAAAATAGAAACATTTCTGTGGTTTAGCGGTCTAAGGTACTGGATTAGATTGCTCTCATCCAAAAGCTTCTGTCCATGTTTTTTCCCCTTTAAAAAGGAGTCATTTTATTTTCCTTTCAAACAGGCTTTGAAAATATAGTGCTACAATAATGTAATATATTCCAGGCTCCAGCATAAAAAAATAAGATAACCAAGGACCATGTAGGAAAATAGCCTTTGACTAAACATTTAATCTCTAAATACAGTAAACTATTATCATGACAAGATCATCAATGTAACTTTGAAAAAAATATGATCAAGAAAAGATAAAGACACGGTGTGATTCTTTAAAACCTCCTACACTTTAAATATAACTGATGAATAGTACATCATCTGTTAAAATGAAGAGAAAAGCTAAGGCTTAGTGTACAATTTAATGTGAGAATACAGTAATCTTACTTGAAAGGATCCATGAAAGATGTTGACATCTGTTTCTTGACAGGTACTCTCTTTCTCTGCTACAGAATAAACATGCGCAAATGTTAAAACATTGATACTCATGGCTTTAAGACTTTACATAATTCCAAACTCAGGTTAAGGTTTTACTTCATGTTGCTTTACTGCCTATCAATAGCTTAAAAGTTTGAGTAATTAAAGAATGTGCAAGTTTTAGATGTTGGGAGCATTTATTTATTTACTTATTTCTTTATTCTAGGGAAGTTTTGTTGTTTTACGTCCTATGGACAGCGATGGTCATATAAGCTGGAAACCAGAGTACCTGGAGAAAACCAGCAATTTGTAGTCAGTAATACCTGGCCACTGCTTCACGTAAGTCTCGAACATGTGACCCAGAGGTGAAGGCTATAGCAATTAATGGTAGTATACCTGAACCATTTGGTCACACAGCGCCCTAAATATTGGAGCAAGCCAGAATATTTTTTAATATGAACATATCTAGAATGCACAAGTAAATTTGCTTATATCCATAATGTGATATACTGTACTTACAAGGAAATGCTGGGATGGTCATCCATTTCTTTACCAGAATCACATTCTCCGACACTAGATACCTCAGCCAATGATGTTTTCACTCTGAATTCATAAATTACAAGGTAAAGTGATTTGCTGACTGATCTGACTACTGTACATGGTCTAAGAGTGCACTTACACGCTGCTTATTATACTTTATAGAATGAACTGTTAGTGATAAGAATTCTGTTGTTTTTCGGTTGCAAAATTATAAGTTCATTGTATATGTACGATTAATATTATTCAATACAAAATAATTATGAATATATATATAATATACTGTTACCAAAGGCTACCCATGAACATTTGTATGCACAAAATAACTAGATATTGCCAAATCATAAATGAAAATATATCCAAATACATATACTTCACTTTATGCATTACATATTACTTTAGCTTGAAACTGTTGTGATGTTAATTAATAGACCTTTTTGATTCCTGGTCAAAAAAAAGTCAAAATTAGGACAAGAAATGATTTTGATTTTATGTCTACACGTGTAAAATTTACCTCTCATCAGACTCTACTGAAGAAATTTCTGAAACTATGGATTCTGCTGCCATGAATTCCTTGGTAATGGGTGTAGAGAACACTTTTGGTTCTGCACTCGTGTCTGTCATCCTGGTTTTGTCTGTGTAGAATCTATATGGAAAATATATACATTGTACATGCATTATAACTTTACATTCTATAATTGACAATATTGTCACTTTTAGATAAAGAGAGTTGATAATCATAATCCATATAACCTTTTTCTACACGGGTTATATTTTTAAAAAAACCTTGATGAGATCAATTGTTGTTCACCTAGCTAATTCATTAAATCGTTCGACTGTTGAGTGTTCACAGTTTGTCAGTTCAGGCTCACTTTTATCACACCTGTATCTATATTATCTGTTGCATAAAAACTGATGCACAGGCTTATAGGATAAATTTGCGTTGGAAAATTATACCAGATTTTGTTTCTGAAATGGAGACATCATAAAAATGAGAAATTAAGGATATTTCAAGGTATCTAGATGAAGACTACTTATTCGAATATCTTGGTTATAACAAAACATAAATACTTAAGCTTTAATTGTCCCGTATTTTTAGGTCGCCTAAGCCGAAGGCTCATGGTGACCTATTGCCATCATGATTTGTCTGTCGTCGTGCGTCGTTAACTTTTCACATATTCGACTTCTTCTCAAGAACTACTGAATGGATTTTGACCAAACTTGGCACAAAGCATCCCCACGGGAAGCAGCTTCATGTTTGCGAAGAAAAAGGGTGTGGCCCCAATAGGGACCCCAGGAGGGGGAAAAAGGGGAAACTTGATACGAATGTTCTACACCAGGTCCTGGCAAGTGTTTTAACTTTTTTGGGCGATTTAAAATCCAAGATGGCCAGTCTGGCCTGTTTGGCTAAGACATTATGGACTTCCTCTCAAGAACCATTGAGTGGGTCATGTTCAAACTTGATACAGACGTTTTACACATGGTCCTGCACAAGTGTTGTTACATTTTTGCAACATTTTAAAATCCCCAGATTATTGACATGTATTCCTCAGGTGACCGTTAAGGCCCTTTGGGCCTCTTGTTATATTTGTGGATTGAGTTTTTACCTGTCTAGCAAAATACCCGCTACTTCGTGATTTGTTTTTAAATTCAGTTCGGTCTTCACAGCATTCCATCTTACCGTATGATCGCCAATATAAATCTTTGCCTTTGATATATCACGGTCTCGCGCCATCTTCCTTCTTTTCGCCTCAGAGTCCGTCAAAGCACGTTTTCTTCCCCGCTTCCCTCGCACGCTTTCTGCCATGTTGGAAGACGGCAGATTTGTTTACAGTTCTTTGCGCATGCGTCAGAGGTCAGGACTTCCCGCATAATAAGAATTAGCGCTGTGTCGTTTTTCATTCTTTTTTCAAACTATTTATTAAGTTAGATTGGTAGCGATTTACTTTAGAATTGCGGTATTACAGGATTAGTCAGAACTTGTTCTACCCGAGAAAAATAGAAATTTATGATTTTTGTTTTGATATAAAATAATATTTACTTAAATTTATCTGTCATTTTTGTAAATAATTGGACTTGATATTAAGATAACATATTTTCTTAGATAATCACAAGGTAGGATATGTATGTAAACGGAGAAGATAAGTATAAAACGATGATTATCTCTGCTATGTTTGATTTGAAGGTCACCAAGATGGCGACAGAAATGCCAATTGAAGTATTGAATGTACCTACCCCGTCTTTTCTGGTGGATATAGACAAGTTAGAACGGAATGCAAGGGCGATGCAAGACAGATGTAAACACCTTGGAATACAATTACGTCCCCACACAAAGACTCATAAAACGATGTGCGTAAATTTATGGTAACAATGTCCAGTTAATAGCAACAAAACCTTTGTATATTTAATTTAATGAAATATTGAGTGGTCCCTATATAAGTTTGGAATAATTCATTCGATAATGTGACTGTCTGTATCATTGCACTGGTATATCCCTCCCTGGCAATGTCTAATACATTTGTTGGTGTTTTGTGCGACATTAGGCTTATGGTTGTGCTCTGGTTATTCGCGAACATTAGCTGGACACTGCCAACATGGAATTCTTTGTTAATTGGTATTTGGGCACTTTTGCAAAAAGGCGAATATATCGAATTCTTCTGGGACTAATTGACATGGTGCTGCCTTTGTTTTGATTTAGGCCTATAAGGCCACCGATTCCTGGAAAGACAAAACAGTTTAACCAATTTATTATCTACACTTTCTTTGATTATAATTTTGTATTGAAATATGTTTTCAATTCAGAATGTTTTTGCAAAGAGATTTGCCATTGTTAGGAAATAATGAAAACGGTATTGTATATTTTCAGCGAAGCTGCCGATATTCTGTGTGGTGGACAAAAGAGGTGTATTGCCGTGTCTACTTTGGCGGAGGCAGATTTGTATTCTGATAATGGTTTCGATGACATCCTTTTCGCCTTCGTAATAACAGAAAACAAAATAGTCAGGTACAATACGCCCAGGCTTTTCTGTTCCGGAATAATCCTCTGGAAAAGGGGTATAATCCCTCCTGGAAAATATCGTATCCATTATATTAAATTACAGGGGATCAAATCATGTCCAAGAAGCCTTTACAATATAATATATGGCCCCAATACAGATTTTCCTGATTTTTTAAAAATTAAATCAGAAACTTTAAATGATTTTAAAAATGATTCTGTGATAATGTGTGGAGATTTTAATTTAGTGCTAAACACGGATCTTGATTACGACCAAAACAAGTTAATAATCCAAGGGCAAGGGATAAGGTTTTAGAAATTATAGATAGATTTTGTTTAGTAGATATTTATAGAGAGCATCATACTGATACAAGAAGATATACCTGGGGAAAGAAGAACCCATTGAAGCAAGCACGTTTAGATTTCTTTTTAGTTTCAGAATGTTTGTTGGGTGGCATTAATAATGTAGGTATAAATGCAGGATACAGATCGGACCACTCTTCTCCTAAAATTTCCTTAAGATTTAGTGTATTTAAGAGGGGAAAGGGGCTGTGGAAGTTTAATAACTCCCTTCTATCAGATAGAGACTACATTGACATTATTAATAAAACTATTGTTAAAGTTAAATTACAGTATTCTCTACCCATTTATAATATTAATAGGTTATTGGAAATCCCAAATGATTTGATTCAGTTTACAATTAATGATCAACTTTTTTTAGATACTCCTCTGATGGAAATAAGAGGGGAAACTATTTCTTACACATCACATAAGAAAAAACAACAAAACATTAGAGAAAAGGAATTAATAAAAGTAATACAAGATTTGGAAGACAGGGATAGTGTAGATATTGAAGAACTAAATGAGAAAAAAACAGAGCTAGAAAATATTCGACTACATAAGATTAAGGGAAGTATTGTAAGATCAAGAGCTAAATGTTTAGAGGAAGGAGAAAAACCTACCAAATATTTTTTTAACCTAGAGAGTAGAAACTTTACATCTAAAGTTATTTATAAATTAGAAAAAGAAGGGATATTGTTATAAATCAAACAGAGATCCTTGGAGAAGTTAAATTATTTTATGAAAAACTATATACAGCAGAGATTAACATAGATAATATTGATCTTGAGGAGTGTTTAGAAAATTTTCAAGTTCCTAAATTGAATAGGTTAGAATCGAATAATGTAGAAGGTTATATAACACTTGACGAAGCCTCTTTGGCATTGAGAAATATGAAGTATAATAAAAGCCCAGGATCTGATGGTTTCACTACTGAATTTTTTAAATGTTTTTGGAGACAACTTGGTGATTTTGTAGTTAGATCTATCAATTTTGGTTATGAATTAGGCCAACTTTCTATTGTTCAAAGACAGGATGTCATTACTTGTATACCAAAAGATAATAAACCTAGACACTTGATAAAAAACTGGCGCACTATTTCTCTATTAAATATAGTTTACAAATTTGCTTCTGGAACGATAGCACGAAGGGTAAAAATAGTATTGCAAAAACTTATCAGCTCAGATCAGACAGGATTTTTGGCAGGTAGATATAAAGGGGAAAATACTAGGCTCATTTATGACCTAATGCACTATACTGAAGAAAATGACATACCTGGGATGTTACTTATGATAAAAGGCATTTGACTCTGTCTCGTGGAAATTTATTGATGAAGTTTTCAAGTTTTTTAATTTTGGGAATAGCATTAGAAATTGGATTAAGGTTTTACATTGTAATGTTAGTTCTGCTATAAACCAAGGAGGTAATCTTTCTCAATGTTTTAGTGTTAAAAGAGGCTGTCGTCAAGGCGACACGATCGCACCATATATTTTTATTCTTTGTGCGGAAATATTAGCAATCCGGTTGAGAAATAACGAAAAAATTAAAGGGATAAATGTTAACAATTTTCCAATTATTTTTTCTCAATATGCAGATGATAGTTCGCTTATATTAGATGGATCAAGGGAATCACTTAATGAATCTATAAAAGAATTGAATGCTTTTGCTAGAATATCTGGTCTAAAAATAAATCTGAATAAAACACAAGTGGTATGGATAGGGAGTAGGAAATACAGTAATGACAATCTCCAGCTCCTTGGAGTAGAATTTCATGTTGATTTACACAGAATACCTAAACTTAACTTTGATAAAAAACTTGTTAAGCTGAAATCTATCATCAGTTCATGGAAAAGAAGATCTATTTCACCTGTAGGTAAAATACATATCATAAAATCATTAATGGTATCCCAATTCAACCACTTGTTTATTTCATTACCTAATCCAAGTGAGAGTTTTATTCTTAAACTTAATAGTATCCTGTATGAATTCCTTTGGAATGGAAAGATAGATAAAATTAAGCGAGATGTTGTTGTTAAAAATTATAGAGAGGGAGGTCTAAATATGGTTCACTTATTGTCATTTATAGAATCTTTAAAATTAAGTTGGATAAGGAGGCTTCTTCAAAAACAAGGAAAATGGCAGGAAATATTAAAAACATATATCAATACTGACTTTCTTTTTAACTGTGGTAGTAAATATATATATCTGTATGTCAAAATAGAAGTACAAACTTGTTTTGGCAAGATGTTTTCAAAGCTTGGAGTAAACTTTCCTATAAAGAAGATCTTTTAAAGGAAAAGGAACCATCATTTTTAAAACAGCCACTATGGTATAATGAGAGGTTAACTATAAACCAGAAGTGTGTTTTTTATCCTGAATGGTATAGATGTGGAATTACTATTTTTAATGACATGATAAAAGATTTCAACACTAATACTTTCTATATGCATGATGAATTTAATAACACATACAATATAAATACGAATTTTGTGCAATATTATGGTATCTTATCAGCAATTAGAAGATATATAAATCAGAATAATATTGGGAATAATTTCAGAGTAGATTTAGAGTATCCAATTATGCCTCTTAATTTAGAAATCTTTTACAAAAACACTAAAGGAGCTAGGGACTTTTATGCAGTACTCTCTAAAAATAAGGTTATTCCAACAGGTAGGAAGAAATGGGGGAAAACATTTGACATTAGCGACGAAAAATGGGAAAAAATATATACAATTCCATTTCGAATAACTACAAATACAAAACTTCAATGGCTCCAAGTAAGAATTATCCATCACATACTGACAACAAATGTATATCTTTTCAAATCTGGCCTTTCAAATAACCCTTTATGTGTTTTTTGTAATCAAGATAGGGAAACAATAGTGCATACACTGGGACTGTTCGATAGTACAAAATTTCCTATACAGCTTTGAAACATTATTGGATGCTTTAATTATCCCTTTTTCTTTTAACAAGGAATTTTTCCTCTTTGGCATAGTATCACACTCAGGAACAAGTAATAGACTAGATAATGAAATTTTAATTATGATTAAGCATTATATTTACAAGACCAGATGCCTTCAAAATACTCTATCAGTAAATGCCTTAATTAATACCATAAAAGATCATTATTATGTTCAAAAATATATAGCATGTTGCAAAGGGGATCATTTTGTTAAAAAACTAGAAAATGAATGGAAAAAATAGAACACCCTCCTAGAATTATAGATTAAAAATTATTAAAAGTTATTTTAGTTTGATTTCTGGTAAACACAATATAACCCCTCTGTCAGTTTCTTGACTTTTATTTCAAATTACTATATATATATATTAATATTTGCAAATAGATGAGCTACAGCGCAAAATCAGGATTAATTTATTAATTTTTTTTTTTTCATCCTTTCCTGTTTTTCTTTCTCTGCCAGTCTCCTCTGTTTTTCTTCTTTTCCTGTTTCTCTTAATAAGGTAATACATGTGTATTTTTTTTATCAATATTGCAAGCTAGTGTACATGTGAGCTGTGTGATGTCTCAGTGAATATGATATGCTATGAATGTAATCAATACCATATATTGCTGAAAAATTCTGAATAAAAAAAAAAAAAGCCTTTACAAAGAATAAATTCATACAGACATTTCTGTAAAGTAACTTTCTAGATTTGACATTCTTGTTGCAGACCTAAAAATGGAATTGATATGTGCCCTATATGATTATTTGCATTATTAGTAGCCTACGGTATATTAACGACTTGCTGGGCAGTTTTTTTTCTGTCACAAATGAAATATTGCTCATTATGACTATTTGATTTTAATCAGATATTAAAATATGCATGACAACGAAATGTTATGAAACTGTGAAAAATTAATGATAATAAAGACATCTCTTTTTGAATGACCCCCCCCCCCCCCCCCAAATTAAAAAAAAAATCCAAATTTGACAGTGCTATGTTTACATCCTCATGCTAGATGTCGTCAGCTTCATAACAAGATCGGAGCATTCCACGTGATGCTCGACAGTAAGGTTGGGTACGAAGCCCTGGAAAAATCGCCAACAGGAAACGGCAAACCATGGAGTGTTTACATTGAAATCGATGTTAAATATCACCGAAGTAAGTTATGTACATGTAATTATTTACTGTACTACAAATAAATTCAGTATTGATTTGAATCGTCTTCGTATATCATTCATAGAGTCGAATAATATCAAATTATCTTGATACATGTAAAAGTTGGTTAAAGGAATACGCGACGTGAGAATAATTCAGGCTGTTTGCCAAACTGAACCAAAACACATTTCTGATAATGCTGTGTTAAATATTGTTATACTACTGCACTCCGTGTAGCGTTAATAATGAATTATCCCTTGATAAACTTTTCTGTTCGAATTTCATTTGTTACATTTTCAAGTTTTTCCTTGGTACAGCTGGCGTGTCTTGGCAAAGTGACGATATTGTGAACCTGGCATCACTTATATCCGGTAACAATGGAATGACGTTTCGGGGTCTCTATTGTCACAATGGTGATACATACAATTATATTGGTAGTGAAGCGATCAAAGAGGCAGGACGAGAGAGTACGGAAATACTGATGAAAGTTAAACAAAGGTATGCGTCAGTCTTTGTACTTCTCGATTCCTTATATAACTGCACCCATAAGGGTTGGGAATTTATTTAGAGTTTTTATACTCGCTGTTCCAGTTAGCTAAGGACGCATATACAGATAATGTTCATAATTCTCTGTTATAACATAATTACTCAGGAACATCACACACCCGACCGAAATAAGACATTCCGTATTAATTCTTCGGACGTTACAGCACAGTGCTATCTGATGATAAAATGTGCAGCGGATGGGCTTAAACGGACCATGTGCACACTTCGTTGTATTTATAACTGCGGATCGAAGGTATAGCCTTATCCAATTTCATGGAAGAGCCCTCTATTGTTGATTTTTCCCTACTGTATAGTTTAATTCGTATTTTGATTAATATTCTGTTGGTATTTCATTTACTGCTCACACATCAGATACTATTATATACAGCAGTGTCTATTACTGATCGTTTCACGCAATGCTGATTTTACAGTACCATCACACTGAAATATCACAATTTTAACAAAGCAACATGCTTGGTCACAGTCTACAAGCACTTGTCCTTGCCGCAATCTCGTTTACACTTAACATCACGCATAAAGCAGCAAGTTTGCCAATTAGATTGATTTGTAGAATTGGTTAAGTTTACTAGATTGCAGAATCTTTTCCACTCCTCTTTCTTCTCTCAACAGGCTACTGCAGCACAGTATCAACTGTGGTGTTGTCTGCATGGGATCCACGCCTAGCTGCTCTCATCCAGACGAATCTATGTCGTTGCTTGAAGAGTTTTCACCTGGCAATTACGTATTTTATGGTGAGAGTATGATCTGCATTTGCTGCATCCATATTTCTTTCTATTATCAATTTGTAATATGCATATGCAATGTTTTTCCTAAACAGATCGTTTTGTCGCTGAATTGAAATAATCTAATCCGCAAGTTTAGTTAAATAATCTGTTTTTCCAGATGTTATGCAGAAGAACATTGGTTCATGTTCTATGGATGATATTGCTGGACGAGTTGCAACAAGGGTTATCAGTCAAAATGTTGACCATAACATTTTGATAATCGACTGCGGGTTTCTCGCCATAAGTAAAGATGGAATGGAGAATAATTTACCAAAGAGTCCGTGGATCATACAAGATAATCCCAACCTCCGGTAGGACATTTATTCAGATTTGTTCGTCATGTCCTGGGGCATATACATTGAGTGATGCACATTAAAAAATACCTTGTTCCGAGCGAATAACTTTTGGTTAGTTCTTCGAAACTTTTGTTTTGCTTTTAAATGTCATCAATGTTTTGCGTTTTCAATTTTTCGATTTCGTGCTTTATTTTCAGGCCGTCACATTTTTTTTCTGTTTATATTCTGATCTATGATACTTAATAACTAGCGGGAAGGAACCGCATGATTTTCACTTTGATGTACTACGGAGACTTAATTGCTATTCAACATTAGCATCCTTATTTCGCATGGTTTAACATCGTTATTTGCAAACCTCTTTGATTCGATATGTGATGTGTGTTAAGACTTTAAGACCTTCATCACGTGTTTTTCTCGTGCTTCAGGCTTGTTGGTATGAGCCAAGAACTTGGAAAAGTAACGACGGTTGAGGGGAAAGTTGATTTCGCTAAATATCCAATTGGAACAATGTTATTTATCTATCCATATCACGTATGTATAATCCCTTTGGTTACGTAAATATTTATTCAATATACTAAATCCAACTATCACTTGAATTCCGCTTTTTGAATTTAAAAATCCGATTTTAAAAAAAATCGCTTTTTGAAAAAATATGATTTCCGAATTTTAAATCCGGAAATTATACCGTTTTTTGTTATTATAATACTGCAATCCGGATCCAAATCTGTTTCTAATTCTTGTACTCCTTCCTGTCAATGTAACGAACGATCTGATTGGTGAAATATTTTTTTTCTTATCCAATCACGCGATCGCTTAGATGTGTGCGTCTCAAATTGGACCGTCATGTCCTCACGAATTGTTGATCGTGACTATGATATAAAAAACAATCCCTGTAAATGGAGCTGGCTCGAAAAAGATGTGAACGGCAATTTATTGGGAAAATACGTAAGAAAAGTTAACGTTTGTGGCGTGGGATTTTGTGAACTCTGCCAGATGGATATTAATTATTCCACTCGGGGATGGAAAGCTATACAGCAACATGTTACAACTGCTTCATTACAAAAATGAAGACACTAGGCGCAAGAACTACAGCTTATCAGGTATAAGCGAAGAAATAGATATACAATTGTATGTCTTATCATAATCTATTCTTCTGATAATAAATTTAAATTTCTTTGCCAAAAAGGTCGTTTTTATGGACTTTTTCTTTGAAGTCCAACCTAGGTACAAACATTCAAATAATTGCAGGAAATGGCCCAAAATTCATATTAAAACATCTAAATGTTTTCAGCGACTGAGGGCCGCCTTGACCCCAGACCCCCGGCCAATTTCTTTTTTCAGTTATTTTACTTTTGGTCCATAATCATGTCTGATTTTTGTAGTTCGTTTTCGTTCCATGCCCTTTTGTATGGCGAAACGCCCCTGGGTTGTAAAAACAATATATGTAGGTGTATTTCAGTGGATCTTTATACATATGCATAATTTTCCCACGATGTTGACATGATTACAAAGACAGCAGTTTGGCATTGGTCAAAATGTTCTGGCCTGTTAGATATCTATAATTTTTGAGTACATTCATTTAACATGTCTCATTTGCCATTGTACCAAAACTAATGTATAAGCTATATTAGGGCCGATTGTTTTAATAACCTATAATTTACATGAAGTCATTCGATATTGAGATCATTCTGAATACCATTCATTGACTATTGAGTGTTAAGAATACTTTGTGATGGTGCATTTAAACCATTGATTTTTTTTATGTCGAAGATAAGCATTTGAAGTGATTGATGTTTCATCATAGTCCTTGATTACTATTAATGAATTGTAGTCCAACGCCCCCTTTAGGACATCAATCCATTTCAATTTAATACCTACATGAAAATAGATGCATTGGGAGTCATTTGATTCGTTTTCTTTTTACTGCACATAAAACCTTTAGAGCTTTATAACATCAAAAATATTCTATTTTCAGTCCTGTGCTACTGCTGCTATGCATCCGGTTTATTATGTTCACTCCGGAGACAAGATTATGGCAATGTGGAGGCCAATCCGTGGATGGTGAATGTTATTTTCATTTGTGCGTAACGAAGAGCTTTTCTAAAGTTTCTGTAGCAAATGTTTGCAAGTTCTTGAATAAACGGAAAATAAGAAAGTCTTTAATCAACAACCCATGAGTTTCAGTAATAATGTACAGAACTGAAAATTTACTCATTATATTGCAAAACCATGGACACGGACAATCAGCTAGGCACAATATCGATCATCGTTTAGCTATTTAGGTAGAATGAATGGCTTTTGGTTTTCTAAATTGCTGCCATATTAAATTTTGCGAAATCTGCATCAATGTGACAAGTTTTGCGGATAAGTCAAACACTAGAACAACTTTACCTTCTCAAAACGAAGGAAAACGATTTACGGTACAATACTAAACAAGTAATGGAGAGGCACCAATTGATTTATGTACTCGTTCATAGGAAGAACTGATGGTCCATCCTCTGCAGCCCAAGAAATATCATTGACGATATTTCATTGTAAAAATCTAAGATGGCCGCCTGTCACACATTTTGTGTTTCTTTGTAAGTTCTAAAATCGAACGGGCACTACTCCAGGGAAAGCTAATATGAAACTTGAGAAAAAACATGTGCTTCTCAAGAAGTCGAGATTATTAGAATTGTTTACGAACGGAAGAAAGGACGGCGGACGGACGGATGGACGGACGGGCGGAAAACGGACGTAAAGCGATTTCAATACCCTACCATGACGATGGACAAGACAAATATGAAATACAGGATAAATTAACACACATGTGTCTTTTATACTCGGCGATACCCAGTACGAAAAGCATTGCTCGCTATTAAAAATACACTAACGAAAAGTCAGTACAGCAGTAAAGGTAATAAATGTGATTTTCCCCCGTAGTACTGTCTGCTAGTACGTGAGTGAACTCTTCTTAACCCCGACAATGTTATCTTAGTTCCACATACTGTAGCTGTGTATCATCCATACCTTCTGTAGTTTAAATATATTCAAGTCTATTGTATTGCACATAAGTAGAAATAGGATTGGTCACACGATTTGCAATTTAAATAGATATAAAGCCCTTTCCAAAGATATTGATACACACACATTACGTTTACATGGTGACAGTAGGATATAACAACATAGAGTGAGAGGGAGAGAGAGAGAGAGAGAGAGAGAGAGAGAGAGAGCAACGTTTCTAGGACAGTTCGGTTTGTGAGGAATATTTTTCTTCCCCACATTTCAGACACAAGTATTTTGGGATTCTGCGCGCCCAAATCATTCAGATTACGTCGACGTCTTAGCATAGTAACTTTTGCATATTCATGACTTTATCTCAACACCGTAAATCCAGTCTTTGAGAATCAAGGGTAATTTTGTCCATTCGGCACATATCTAGATTGTTCACTATACAAGGTGTTCCAGCCACCTGTAGAGTTCTGTTCCTTTCCATAGTCGATCCGTCATCAGTAGTTTCGGGCCAATCCCAGTCTGGCCCCGTTTTCGTAGTGATTCCGGCCCCATCCCATCCCTTTCTTTCAGCAACTAAAGTGTTTTTTGTAAAATATCTATCTTTTCACTCACTTCAATCGTTTTGTTGGTTTGTTTTACCGAATAAGATATTTTATTCGCTTTGTGAATTTTTCTTATACTGCACTGTGCAGTAATAGTGTCGAGTAAATGAACTACATTAATTATGGTGAAAAAGGGATATTACTTGGGTTGTATGTCAGTCGTTTTTTGCATTATAAATGTGTTTTGCTACTTGTTCACTGTGTGTACATTATGGCAGACAACTGCAAATTGCAAAGAAAGAGTCCCCCCTCGTCAGGATGCCATATGCGGCAGCTCATGTGAGCGATTGATTCGCTGGACTTGTGGGAAAGGTGGATTTTAAAAAATTACGATAATTGTATTTCCATTATTAGTTATAATTATCACACACTCTGCACTAAGCTATACAATGTCTTCAGACGTTTGCTGAAATATAATTTTTCAAAGAGGTACCGTCTGAGACACGGCTTGAAAACGTTAGCGATAATCAAGTTTATTTGCCTTGTTGGCCTTTTATGTTTATATATTTAAACGATACACAATGTTCTCATCTAATTGAACACAATGTATGTATTTACGCATGAATACAATGTATGTATTTGCGCATGAAAATTTCATGCAATCATATTTGCTGGATCTATTACACGTGATAATTCCTCAGAAACTTGTGTAGACTGGTTATCCAATGAATGTTGATTTATGACATAGGTGCTCGTGTTTCAGATGATTGTTTTCAGCAATTGATAAATGACAAGGATGAATTATATAATACAAACTAGGCTAGAACATGACGTACATGTGTTCCAGGCTATCTACAGAAAAGGAAACTAGAAACTAACTTTGAATCGCGTAGATAAGTAACACTATATAGCCAGATTTTACAGAGTTTAGGTCCAGCAAAGGGGAACATAAAGTAAAACAGTTATGGACTTTATTACAATGTACTGAATACTGCTGATGAAGTCATTGGATATGATGTAATATGAACCCGCACAAGTTATGTTAACCTAAATCAATATCTCTTGTCCAGGCTCATGTCCCATCATACAAATGTACATAATGGTATATTAGTATATTATGACTTGTGCTCATTCATACTTCTGATTGGAGGAGAGATGTCAAGTGAAGTAGATACACATGTGTTACAGACCTCTGTGAAGGTGTTCAGACTGCTGCCTAGGGTAACATTACAACACCATCATATTAATGGCGTAAAATATGAAAACAGAAATATAAAGGGCAGCACATTTCATATCTACTCATTATTTAATTAATTTTCCTGGCCACTAATTCTCACATAAATGTCATACTTGATATGATTAAGACTCAATACATTCAATTAAAATCAATATGATGTCAACAAGGGTTGATATGCAAATAACAAGTAATAATTTGGGGTCACTTTAAAATTTGAGCAAGCCCTTTCCACAAATAACAAAACCAATTAAATCGTTGATTGTTTTAGATGTAAAATTTAATCTTAACATCAATCTTTTAATTCTCAAATGTTTTCCAATCACTAGAACTAGATTATCTCTTAGGCGTGCGAAATTTATCCACATCATTATCATATTTGTTTTTCTTGACACATGTATTGCATTCCACACAACACAAACAAAGTATGTTCAATAGATGAAGATTCCTAAATTTTCACTTTATCATGTGTAACGTAACGACAGCACAGTGGTAAGCTTGGTGCTTGAATCGAAACTTCAGTTAACATCTTTTTCATTTCAATAGAAAAAGGGAAATTACATGATATCGAAACTTTCCCAACATTGTTTCTATTTTGTTTCGTTAGAGGTCATTAAACATAATGAGTGAAATAAATCGTTGATTGTTTGAAATGTGAAATTTAATCTGAACACCAATCTTTTAATTCTCAAATGGTTTCCAATCACTAGAACTTCAGATTATCTCTTAGGCGTGCGAAATTCGTTTTCTCATAAGTGCTGATATTGATAGTGAAAAACGAATAAGTGTATTACTTTAATGATCATGGAAAGGAATATAAGTCTAGGCTATAGGCTCTGGTTATAACTCTAAAACAGTCGAGATTCCCACAGCATAACCATTGCTCCGTGCATATTGGAGAGTTATCATCTCTTTCGGAGAGGTATTGATGGTAATGTCATTACTTTGTGTGATAAAATGGGAAACAAATGACATTACAGTCGATGCCTCCCCAAAAGACAATAACTGCAATATGCAAAGCCAGAAATAGCAATGTTAGGCATACAGAAATGCATACATTTAAGATATCAGAGTTTAACTTGGGGTCTTACTCCACCCCAAAGATTGTTTTGGTGTTATAACTTTTTAACAGTCACTTTCCCCACCCCATAATCAAATATTTTGATGTAAGCAGGTTAAGCATTCACAACTGAAGTTCCCGAACACATTTGTAATGTTAGAGTTAATCCCCTGGGTCTTGCCCACCCCATGGACAAAAGACCCTCCATCAACCATTTTTTGTATATTTAATGCACATGGTGTACATCTGAATGAAGCAAAAGTCAGGAAAATTTCATCAACTGAATACAGTTTTGGGGGGGAAAATTAGACAAAGCTATACCGAAACATTGATACAGTAAATCATATGCTGACATTCTCAAAAATGGTGCACTTTTCTAACCCATACACATGTTTACAAACTTTATAGGAATGATAATTGTGAAGGAATTCTGGCAAGGTGATAAGGTTACAGGATGTTAGGTACTTAGGTAAAGTGAAAATGTCAATCTAAATGAAAAAAACTAAAATGGTGTCATTTTTTATATCAAATACACTCACTTCCATTCCTGCATGTCACTTTCTAGAATCAACTTAAAAAGAAGGGGGGAGGGGGTGCGGATTTCAGTATTATATATTACAGTTAAAGATTTACTGATAGTCATATTCTTCTGATATCTCTAGTTCAAACACTTACCATTTATCTCACCTGGAATTTATTGATAAGAAAATAATTGATAACGCCTTTTCTTCAGACCCGATTGTCCTAAATGATTTTCTTGTGCTATTTGCAAAGACATATTCTTTTTTGCTGAAACCCTGGTGATGTTGGTAATAAGAGGGCCAATGGTGCTGCAAAGACCTATAGCTTTCTATTCAGTAGAATTGGTTTTTTTTAATTTCATAAAGATGATTTGTTTATCTTAAGACTTGATACAGCTAATTGTTCAAGTTTAGGGCTTACGAAAACAATGGGATGGGAAAACAGGCCAACTGCAAAATGAAGAAAATTGCTACAAGTGACAGTGTACCACATTTGTGTTTTTTTGCCACGAAAGAAATTGGTGATGGACAGGAACTCGGATATGATTATGGGGAAAAGAACTTCCATGGAGAAAGAAGGTAACAAAATTAATGACCTCATAATGACATAAATATTGTGTTTATTCTGTTCCTTATTAAATTTATTGCAAGTCAGACGCCTTACTATAGTACTTTTCCTCCGCTGTTATTAAGTCTTCCAAACAGAGAGGGGGA